ATAGTGAGAGGTGACAGACATGGCTCTTGAGAGCTAAAATGCTGCACATCATCATTGGGTTGATGATACTGACCTTGATCTGTACTCCCAAGCAGATTCATAGGGTGTGACTGACATTCTGGTTGTGTAGCAAAACGGAGACAAGTGTTTCTTAACTGGCGTTAAAGGTCACGCTTTCTCTTCTTCTCTTCCATCTCTCGACGCTTGTTCTCAATTATAATTGCTCTATCCACCAATGTTTGATAGTCGGCATACACAACGGTCATCAGCTGTAGTTGCAAATCATCATTCAGTCCTTTCAAAAAGCGTTTCTGTTTCTTAGCATCACTATCCACCTCTCTTGGAGCATAGCGTGACAATTGAGTGAACCGGTTATGACACTCACACACTAACATAGATCCTTGCTTCAACTTGAGAAACTCTTCTTGTTTAAGTTCTACCTCACCTAACGGAATATGGTAGGACCTGAAGCTCTCGCTAAACTCCTTTCAGGTGATCTGTCCAGCATTGTTGGGACGTCCATACTGGTAAGACTCCCACTAGTCTTGTGCCACACCCTGGAGTTGGCCAGATGCAAAAAGCACCTTCTCATGGTCATCACACTAAGCTATGTTCAATTGTTGCTCCACAGCTCTAAGCTAGTCATCAGCTTCTAGTGGTACGCTTGTATGAAAGAATGTCGGTGGGTATCCCTTCATAAATTCACCACGCTTGTCAATAGGTGGTGCTTAATGTGGGTGGTTCAACACACTTTGAGCAATAGTCTACAATAACTGAGTCTGCATCATCAAAGCTTGCTCTATAGATGGGGGATGTGATGGCAGTGGATTAGAATTGGTAGGATTCCTTCCAGTGAGAGCTAGAATCTACAAAACCACCTTCACTTTGGCTACCCCCCTTAAGAAAAGATCAACTAGGGTACACAAAAGGACAGCTTGCACCTCCTTCCAGATGAGTGAACTAGTATCAAGACGTTCTAACATCCCAAATAACACATGTGCATATCTAAGAACAAGCAACTTGATTTTTCCTCGCGGGATGAAAAATAACAGTGCAGTAAAACGGATGTAACTGCCATTTTGTTAATCCAATGAAGTTGTAGCTTATACCGTTGGAAAGCTTATCAAATTCCCCACAACTTCCTTATAGAACACTTTTCCATATTTTATAGTTCAGGTAGTCGAAAACAGTGCACAGTAGAAACTATTCTAGGTTTTAGATAGCGCAGTTGCATCGTCTTGTGATTTTTATAACTCCCAAACCATAATGGCTATAAGGGCGGTTCTTGCGGTCAGAGAAAGATGTTGAAGTCTACTGTTGTCTAGAATTTTTTCATGATTTTTGATAGTCCAAAGATAGAGATATAAACTGATAAAGGTAGGTTGCTCCGATGGTAGGATAGAGAAAACAGGAGAGAACCAAAACCCGAATATTTATTTCATTAATCCTTATACCTTAGGCCTATAAACTAAATAAAATTGTGGGAACACCCAACAAGATCATTGTAATCATTAAAAGATTCAAAACAAGCAGAAGCATAATGATAATTCAACAAAGCACTAAAGATGCACAATTCAATCATTAACTCAACTTGCGATACTATCGTCCTTATTGTACTAGGGGTAACAATCGTAAGACCCATCTTCAGATTACGCAAGAAGGTGGTGAGGAACAGTTCTAAAAGCATATCAAATCAAGGAGTAAAGATAAGAACAAAGACTTTAAAATAAGCACCAAGATAGAGATGAATAGCAAGGGTAGAGATATAGTAGAGAAGAAAATATCAAGGTTCATAGAGCAAGGTTTTTTGTAGCAACCTCTAAACCTTAAAACAACCAGTTTCTACTAGGCTTGCATCCTACAGTTAGCATTGCTCTGATACCACTTTGTCGCACCCGGTTTTAAGAACAAAACCAGATACACACCATATGTGAGCCTAGAAAGTCAAATCTCACATATATCTACAAATAAGGATAATATCAAAAGACAATGCTCAATATATAACGTACTTAGTATAAAGGATATAACCTTAGATAGCAAACAGTAGAAAAATAACTCCGATCTTCGGGTGAAGACTCCAATTCCACAGACAATTGACTGGTTGATCACGAGCCTAATTCCTTCAAACTCTAGCAATCTGGTACCCATCAAGGATTTTTCCAAAGATTTAAAAAGTAAAGCAAGCGTAAGTACATATCGTACTCAACAAATATAACATGAGGTTCATGAGGCTCAAAATGCTGACACTGTTTTAATTGCGATTAGCTTTTAATGAGTCATCTTTTAGCAATTGGGTGACAACAAGTTTATTCACAAGCCCATATAAACACATGATCAGGTAAACATGAATACTGAATAGCATAAACAATTAACCATTAATAAGCATCTTTATCATCAGTATCATCAGTGTTCATCATCTATTCTGTAAGGGTCCAAGGCCGCTCATGACCGTGAGCACGATTGATATACCAGTTTTACACTCTACAGAGGTTGTACACTTTCACTGTGAGTCGTGATTTACCCTTTCACCCGAGGTAGCTAATCTCTTGACCCACTTCCAAGGAAGGTCGGCAGGGTTCACTATGAAGCCTTTCAAAGGTTCGTCGAACAAGTTAGGGCTATTAGATTCACTCGGTGAATAGATATTGGAACCCCCTGTCGAATGGCACAATGACACGTAGCCTATACACATACGAGTAGAGGCTGTCCTATACCTGATTCGTCAAGCCACTCTTACGCCATAAAGGTTACCTCTAACAAGCTAGAAAATGTCCTCATACTGAGCTAAAGCCAGAGCTATATAGCCCTCATAGTTGTACTGTAAGTCCCGAATATTCGCTTACAGATAAGTCCTTAAGGAGAGGAATCTAGAGCACCATAAAAACAACCCAATGCTCTAGCCCCCTTGTTCCATGTTGCGAAAAAGCATCTTTTAGTGTTTATTGCATATACCATTAGTCAAGTTACAAGATCATGGCATTTAATTGAGCACTAGCATCATACTACCCAATGCAATATCTCATAAGTGACAAGGAATCCAGGATATCAAATAGCTAGGATAATTACTATGGTTGCCAAGGTAGACACATGCATATGATTAAATTATTAAAGTGAATAGGACAACAAGAAAGATCCCATACTATACTTGTCTTAAACTCCGATCCTTCTTCTATTGAATTGTAACTTCCAAAGGACTTTTTCTGTATCACCAACTTCTTTCATATTTCCAACACAATGCTCACCGACTGGACATGATCATAGAACACCACACAAGCATCCATGCAATCATACACGAAGTAAACAATAATACTAAATTAGAACAGTACACCAAACATAATAAACAACAAGTAAAAATGTTTTAAAGAGGTTCTACATGTTAATATGATAACACAAACGCGAAAAGCACTCTAATCGGAGTTATAACAAAAAAGTTATGAACTAAACAAGATTTCCTTTAATAAAATAATAGATTAAATCTAACCTCGAATTTCAAAAGTTGAAAATATATTTAACAGTAGTATAAATATGTAGATTACGCAATTATGAATCTAACGCAACTTGAATGGATCAAATCGGAGTTAAATCGGAGAAATTATGGCCTAAAGAAAACTAGTGGCAAAACTGTAAATAGATGAAAACGTATTTTGAATCTACTAGAAAAAAATACGCTTTCAGAATATGAAAACGTATTTTGGAGGTGAGCCATGGATTGCGGGTTAAATTATTCAAAAGCCGAGGGTCTCTTTAGTAAAAGTATAGAGACGGCAGATTCTATACTAGAAAAGGGTAGGGACTCTTTTTAAAGTATGCCGGCCGAAGAGGTACGCTTGGATTTAAGCCGTCCGATCGAGATTGGACGGTGGGGATTAGATGGGGGGTGATTGAGGGCGCGGCCGGAACAGGGAACCGGCACGGTGGGACGCCATTGCTGGCGACGCAGAGCTTGTCGGCGAGTGCGAAAACGGTCCTAGAGACCACGGGAAGGCAAACCAGAAGCACGGGGCGGAAGAGGAGAGAACTACAAACTCGGCTAGACATCTTACCGGGGCGCGGAGCGGACAGAGGCGGTGCGCGGCTCGGCGGGGCGACGGCGGACGACGGGGCTAGGGTTCCGCAGCGGCGCGGCGATTCGGCGACTTGGCTATGGCTTCGATGCTAGGGATGAAAGCGGCATGGTGCGGGGCTGCTATTTATGGCCGGGAAGCAACGTGGGGCGCAAGGCAAGGCACGGAGTCGTGGCGGCGTTGGCCTCTCGCGGTGGACAGAGTCCGTGGAGGGGACGATGGAGGTAGGAGATGGCTCGATTGACGGCTGGGTGCCACAAGTCAACGATAGGGGAGGCGTGGAAGAGAGAGGGCACGGCGGGGCGGGGAAGCAGGACGAGAGAGGAGAGAGGTGGCGTGAGCGCGCTGGGCCACGGGAGAAGGAAAAGCGGAGCTAGGCTGAGAGCGGAGGCGCGGGGAAACTAGGCCGCGGCAATGGACTGGGCCAGAGCGGGAGGGGAAAAGGTGGGAACGGACCGGGCCGAGGAGAAAAGGCCGGCGGGCCAGACGAGAGAAAGGAAATTTCTTTTCTTTTTAACTCATTTTCCGTTTATTTTAAAGCCATTTCAAAACCCTTTTTAAAAGCAATTTGAATTATTTTGAATTTTATACAAAGCCACACATTCCAATAATTTCAATGCACCAGCATGTATGCATAAACAAGTTGCTAAACGTTAGGATGAATTTTAATTTAGTGAAAGATATTATTTTTCCTATGTTTTTCTCAGCACAAAAATACAAAATTAAATCTTTTTAGCCCTATTTTAAAAAGAGCAAATTTTAGGGTGTTACACGTACCCGTAAGTAATTCATCAACTGCACTAGTCCCTGCGACAGTATTTCATAACATTCTTACGAGTTTTCCATTTTCGTCATACTCACAAACGCTTACATGAAATCTTCATGGCTTGGCTTGACTTTTCGGGTGCCTACTGATGGCGTCTCTGTATGCAGATTCTATTTTGGACCCCTGATCGCATTTGGCAAGTATAACCAAGCCGATCCCTTCAAGGCTGGCAAGGTGCTCGATGCCACCAACTGGACTGCCCTGTTGCAGTTGCATTGCACCTTCTTCAGTATCTGCAGTATCTGTAGCCATGGCATTGCGTCTGGCTCAAAAGTCAAACGTGACGACAGCGCTTGACTTCTCCAGAATTTGAAGCGCTTGAGGCTGTGGAATGTGTTTGGGTGGATAATGATGTTCTCTGGGATTGTTTTAGCTGATAAGTCGAGGAAGGTGAGGCAGGGCAACTGTGCAAGCACCTGGACGTCGTCACTTCGGAGCTCATGGACACTTAAATCAACATCCGCCAACCTGTCAGCATGCGCAATCCAATTTGGTAGCTTGGGCATTGTTACGCCATTCAATCTAAGCTTCTGTAGATGCCGTGGACGTGTCAAGCAGTTACTCCAGAATTGTGCTGAGGGGGCCCTTTCACTTGATCGAACCTGAAAATCCAGACGCCGGAGGTTGCTGTTCCCAAGCTTGTTAAGAGAGGCAGCCAGGATTGTTGTGTTTTGATTATTTTCTACGCCATCTGCCGTGGAGAAATCGAACTTCACATTAAGATTCCTAAGATTGGTCAACTCACCGAGATCTCTGATGCACTCTATGGAATTAGTCCCAACATCAAACTTGGACAGATCATGTAGGCTGCACAACTTTCTAAGCCCATTTTTGAACACTACACCTTCTGGTAAAAGGAGATGCCTCAAAGATGACAAGGAATTAAAATCCACTAGTTGTTCACTCGAACCATACAACCATGAGTTGGGCATATCTAGAGTAATCAAATGCTTTAGCTTGCCAAATTTCTTTGGCAGCTCGAGAAGAAAACCATGGACCCGTACATACTTGAGCAGAAAAAAGTGATTTACAGCAGACAAATAAAGGCACCTACGAGGCAAAGAATCATCTTCCATGTCCAAGACTCTCAAAAGCTCAAATTTCGAAAGTGGAGGCATACAATCAGCCACACTGAAGGAAATGTATGACCGAACCGTTGATGCACTCACACTCTCCACTGTCAGGGGCATGTTTGTAACACCCCAGGCCCGGCACACGGCACAGGCCCACTCTACCAAGGGGTGGGCCCCACCTACTGTCGGGGACCGAATACTGGGGTACCCAAAGAGGAGGAGCTAATAACCATCAAACGTTGATGTTTCCGAACAGACAAGAACACAGCTACACTTCTTGCCCAACGACCGAAGGTTGGCTCCGCCTCCGCCGACCCCTGAGGGCCGGTCCCGCCTCGCCCGACGTCTGGGGGCAGACTCTACCTCGCCCGACCCCCGAGAGCTGAACTCTGCCTCGCCCGACATCTGGGGGCAGACTCCGCCTTGCCCGACCCCCGAGGGCTGAACTCCGCATCGCCCGACGTCTGGGAGCAGACTCCGCCTCGCCCGACCCCTGAGGGCTGGGCTCCACCTCGCCCGACGACTATGCGCTGCTCCTTCATAACTAAGCGTGCAGATAAGGCAGGGCACTCAAGTCAACCGCAGTACCGAGGACCATACCCTTCACACCTGCAGGAAGGTACCATCAGGATATGACCAGACGAATGCTTTAAGCCCTTCCAGGCATGTCAGAGCCCAAACAGTATTGTGGGCGTCGACATTTGTCCTACAGTGTTATGGGCGCCGGCATTTGCCCTCGGACACAAATCCTAACGGAAACATACGACAACCACTACAGTACAGGAGGAAACTCGTGTCATCTACAGTAACGAACGTGGGGCCTCTACGCCATCTGCTCCCCGTGGGGTCGCGTTTTGGTGCCCTGGTGCGGCGCGCCGCCCGCCGGGACAAGATGGGACGTGACCACATGCTGAAGGAAGCCAGAGCACAGCCCTATCAGAATCAGCGAACATGCTATCCCTGGCACCATCTACCGTGTCAGCGGGGCTCGCTCAAAGAAAAAGGAAGACCCGACACCTTCGAAGGATCTTCTCTACCTCTGGTTTTTTATCTTTCTCCCATCTGTAATCCCTGCTCCCCCTTGGTCAATAAAAGGGAGGCCAGGGCACCCCACTAAGGGGATGACTCGATTCAACACACCACACATCATATAACACACAGTTGAGCAGCAACCAAGCTCTCAGCCCCCTTTCAACCTTTCCATCAGAGACTTGGGATCTGTCCCTCTCTCGATCGTTTGTACCCCCTACTACGAACCTTTCAGTGCTAATAACACGAGCAGCAGTTGCAAACTAGACGTAGAGACATTCCGCCCGAACTAGTATAAACCTTGTGTCTTTTAGCACACCATTCGGACCTAACACGCAATAAATACATATTTACTAGTTGGTGTTTACTCAAAACACCGACAGTTGGCGCGCCAGGTAGGGGACCTTTGCGCATTTCGACGTTAACATCAAGCCACGGATGGCTAGCCACGGAATCAGCTGGGTCCCGGGCGCACACGTGCGCTTCGGTGACCTAGACTTCATCGTCACGGTGGGAGGAGAGTTGGCATTAGCACACGCCGCCATCCAACCTCTCTCCTCCATCAGCCTCAACTACGAGACGCTTGAGCACCAGCTCGATGTCTCCCTTGGGCCCTAGCCATCCAGGGAGGACCCGCGCCGCCTCACCCTCTCTCCGGAACACCCCGCACGGAGCGCCCCGACAGTGCTTCCGTTCAGTCTCTGCAATGCCGCGGCGACCGCTAGCCACCTTGTGGCACAGCGCATGATCCCATTCTCTGCGAACAACGAGTTCGTGGGGGTGATCGAACACATCACGGAATCTCTCTATGGCCTCCTCGCAGAGGAGCCGGGGTCGCCCTCTGGCTCTGACTCCAGCAGGGGGAGCCATCACCCCTTCTAGGAATGCTTCATGGCGGGTACCCCCGAGGGACACGTCGAAAGCGTCTCCGGGGAGGAGGCTACCCCGGCGAACAACCTCGGCAATGAGGCCGAGGGGGAGATAGCGGCCCCACCTTGAATGAGGGTGGAGCAGCTGAAGGCCCGACACCGGGAGATCGAGCAAGCGCGACTCTAGCTCGAGCAGGAATGCGCGGAAGTTGATCAGGAGATCGAGGCCACGGAGATGATGGGCGCGCATGCGCCATGGCCTGCGATGTAAACCGAAGGATCATCGCTGATGATGAAGCCCTCCCTCGCTTCGCCCGGGCAAGCTAGAGCATCGCCGCCATGGCAGCCTTGCTCCATGGCCTTCAGGAGGCCGCGACGCCCGAGGATCATCATGCCCATCCTGAGATTCGCACGGTGCTCGAGCGTGCGGCGGCACAGCAGGCAGAGAGCTCGATGTCTCGGCAATGCGAGCTCGACATCAGCCAACATGCGCTCTCTGGGTGTCCCGACAGGAACGTGTCGGTCCATCAGGCACCACAAGGAAGTAAGCAGCACACCACGGTCCCAGTGCGTCAGCGTCTCGGCCGCAACCATGATGCGCACAGCACCCTCGACGCCCACAGACGCGCCTGCAATGACCTAGGAGAGGGAGCCAGACGTGGCTATCACCCTCAGCATGGCGGACGCTTTGACAGTGGTGAGGACCGAAGCCCGAGCCCCGGCTTGTCGGGGCCTCAGGCCTTCGGCCAACATATCCTCAACGCTACCTTCCCGCCATGGTACCGACCACCAACCAATATCCCAAAGTACTCTGGGGAAACAAACCCTAGATTATGGCTCGAAGACTATTGGCTTGACTACCAAGCCGGTGGTGCGGATAATGATGACGTCATTATCCGCAACCTTCCACTGTTCTTGGTCGATTTGGCACGAGCGTGGTTGAAACACCTACCGTCCAACGCAATCTAGAGTTGGGCAGATCTGAAGGAGATCTTTGTGGCGAACATCCAGGGCACATACAAGCGCCCTAGGAACCCATGGGACCTCAAGAACTGCCGATAGAAGACCGATGAGACCCTCTGTGGGTACATCCGATGCTTCTCTCGGTAGTGCAACGAGCTTCCTAACATCGTCGACGCCTACGTTATAGGAGCTTTCCTGTCTGGGACTACCTGCGAGTATTTGGTTCATAAGCTGGGACGCAAGGGCCCACGAACCACCAAGGAACTCCTGGACATCGCCACCAGCCATGCCTCAGGAGAAGAAGCAGTCAGAGCGATCTTTGATCGTCTCGAGGGCAAGGCAAGGCGGGACGAGGGCGTCGGTGAAGGCGCCTCCAATCGTTCTGTCAAAAGGAAGAACAAGAAGCAACGACACGAGGACTCGCTCATGGCTGCTGCTGACCGCAAGGGTGGTCAAAAGCCCACGGAGGGCACTCTGAACCACTTCAAAAAACTACTCAAGGGGCCATGCTTGAACCATGCTTTCCCGATGAAGCATCTGTACAAGGACTGCAGCCTCGTGCGACGGTTCTTGTCCGAAGGTTCCAACAAAGGGGAGCACAGAAAGGACCCTGCCCCCACCGTGGATGATGCCGAGGAGAAGGACGACGGCTTTCCGACACCAGACGGTTGCCTCATGATCTTCGAAGGATCGGTAGCCTACGACTCCAAACGCTGTCAGAAGGTCACGCGTCGCGAGGTCTATACGACCGAATCAGCCACACCCGCCTTCCTCCGGTGGTCAGAGTCCACCATAACCTTCGATTGGACTGACCACCCAGAGAGCGTCCCGCATCCGAGGAGATATCCGCTCGTGGTTGACCCAAACATCGACACAAAGCGGCTCACCAAAATACTGATGGATGGAGGCAACGGCCTCAACATCATGTATGCCAAGACGCTTGATGAAATGGGCATCGATCGGGCATGCCTCCGCCCAACCCGAGCACCTTTCCACGGCATCGTGCCCGGGAAGCAGACCATGCCACTTGGGCAGATCGATCTGCCCGTTACCTTCGGGGATCCATCCAATTATAGGATGGAAACCCTCACCTTCGAGGTGGTCAGGTTCCTCGGAACCTTCCACGCCATCCTGGGATGTCCATGCTCCGCGAAGTTCATGGCCATCCCCAACTATACATACCTCAAGCTAAAAATACCAGGCCCCGATGGGGTCATCACCGTCGGCACCTCCTTCCAGCGTGCCTATGAGTGCGAGGTCGAGTGCTGCGGTCATGCCACAACAATCGTCGCCTTCGGAGAGCTCGCCGCTATCAAGAGGGAGGTCACCAAAGAAGCGCCCATCACCAAGAGGTAGACCGGGTCCTTCGAGGTAGCGGAAGGCTCTAAGGAAGTCCTCATAGACCCCGGCAGCATCGAGGGTAAAATGGTGCGCATTGGTACCATGCTTTCCTCCGAATAGGAAGGCGCGCTCGTCGGCTTCCTTCGCGCTAACAGAGACATCTTCGCGTGGAAACCCTTAGACATGCCAGCCATACCAAGGGAAGCCATCGAGCATTCCCTGATGATCTGCCCAGGCTCCAAATCGGTGAAACAATGCCTGCGTCGCTTCAACGAGGGGAAACGTAGGACCATCGGCGAAGAGATAGCCAAACTTTCGGTGGCCGGATTCATCAAGGAAGTATACCACCCAGAGTGGTTAGCCAACCCCGTTCTTGTACGAAAGAAGAGTGGGAAATGGAGGATGTGTGTTGACTATACGGGTCTCAACAAAGCATGCCCAAAGGATCCGTTTCCTTTACCGCGCATAGACCAAATAGTCAACTCTACCTCGGGGTGCGAAACCCTCTGCTTCCTTGATGCATATTCCGGGTACCATCAAATCACGATGAAAGAGTCTGACTAGCTCGCGATGTCTTTCATGACCCCCTTCAGATTGTTCTGCTACGTCTCAATGTCGTTCGGTCTGAAGAATGCTGGGGCTACATACCAGTGTTGTATGCTCAAGTGTTTCGGAGACCTCATCGGGCGAACCATTGAGGCCTACGTTGACGACATCGTGGTTAAGTCCAAATAGGCTAACCACCTCGTTGCCGATCTTGAGCAGACCTTTGCAAAACTCCGAGCGAATGGCATCAAACTCAATCCTGAGAAGTGTGTTTTTGGGGTCCCGAGGGGTATGCTGCTTGGTTTCATCATCTCTAAGCGTGGCATCGAAGCCAACCCAGAGAAAATCTCAGCCATCACAAGGATGGAC